GCCAGGGGACTTGCAATAACCCCAGCTAGTTCCTTTAGGACTCTAGGGTGAAGATCATCCGGGCCGGCTGACTTAAAAACGTCCAGCCCCTCCAGAAGCTCCCTAACCGGTGCACATCCCTCCCCCAGAAGGCTGTGCCATGGGGCTGCTCCATGCCCATCTACTGCACCCCGCCTGCAGTTCTGCTGCCGTGACCCTTCTGAGCAAGATGCCAGTGCCCTCCCGGGCCTTGCTGACTCCTTGCTGCTTGGTCGTAGGCATTACTACACAACCTGCAACGCTGCCCAGCAGAAGGGCTGGGCTGCAGGGCGATGTCTCCTCTCCAGTGAATTCCAGTCTCCCGCTGTCCCCTGGCCTGTGCCAATGTACGTGGTTCATTCTGCAAGCGCTGCCTCCGCAGCACCTGCTGGGGCAGTATATGCAGGGCTGCGTCTGTACATGCGCTTCACAGAGGGTGTGTAATTACACGCATGGGTAGCTGAGGTGAGGAGACATGCCCAAGGCCACATACTGCATTAGTGGCTCAAGTCTTTGATGCCTGTCCAGGCATAAGCTGCTTGATGCAGCCCCCTGCATCCCACCTTGAGCTGTTAGCAGCTGAGACGGGTCACAAGCTGTTATAAAGGAACGTGGTCACTGTCCACTTGCACCACTAGACGCCCCAGGATGCCAGCTTCGTGAACGAGATTCTTCCCAGCACGGCACGCGAGAGGACAGATGCTGAGAGCATCTTGCGTGCCCCTGGGGGTTGTGACAGGGAGGAAGGGTCTGAGGGCTCGACGCTGGCTTCTCCTTGCGTGGATTCCTCCCTGCTTCAGTTCAGCTTTCCGCCTTGCACGCCCCATGTCCCCAGCAGGGTCAGTGCCCCTTGTGCTGTCACCACGTCCCTATGGATTTCCTTTGCAGTTAGGTCTTTCTCCTGGGGGTGCCTGGGCTCTGCTACAACTTCCTCCTCCTCCGTTTTTCAGCATCTCAGGGACTGACTCCTGCCGGCACAGCCTTGCCCAGCTGCTGCACAGAGTGCTCCCGCTGCTAACGCAGAGCCCAGCACAGGACTGGAGTGCAGGTGGGCCAGCGCCACGGGGCCTGGTGCTAGGCCAGGTGGGCGGCATGCTGCCTGAGCACTGTGAGAAGGGGCAAAGCTGCCTCTGAATGTGTCCCTGGGGGATGTAGCTGCTTTCCAGGCCCAGCCTGCTCCAGGGTGATGCCTGGAGGTGCAGGGCTGGGCCATAGGTAGCATGTCCTCGTGTCCCACCTGGCCCCCTCCCCACACATCTCGGCAGGGTCTGGCACGGCTGGCCCCTCTTGTGTTCAGCTTCCTTGTCTCTGCCCAGCCCTTTGTCTCCTGCGCCTTGGCCTAGTGCAGCTTCCCAGTATGGTGTGCCAGGTGCTCAGCAGCCCTGGGAAGTGCCCCAGACTGTCATGCTGCAAGGCCGTGGTCCGGGACCGTGGTACCAGGCTGAAGGAGAAAACCCTGCATGGGGTCAGTTGATGGAGTGGAGCTGGGTCAGCTCCAGGCTGTTGTCCTGAGGGTGTCCTGCCTGCTGCTGCTCCCAGGTCCAGCCTGCTCTGGTCGGGCATCTTGGAGGCTGTTGCCTGCAGCCAGCGCTCCGGAGCTCGCTGTGGCGCAGAAAGAACCCCACAAAGTTGTGATCGGTGGCAAAAGCTCGGAGAGGTTTGTTGTCTCATAGGACAGTAGTGCTCGGGTGTGTAGAGCAATTGGGCCGGTAGTGAAACTGCCCAGACCACGATAAACAGCACATTGCGTGTGCTGATTCCCCTAAGTTGCTACAAAGGGATGAGTCTTGCAGCCATGCTGTGCCAGCTCGTCTCTGTCTGTTGAGATGTCCCCTTTTTACCTGGCTCCTCGCCAGGCCCAGATACATGCAGCTCATTCCTTGCTGACTTCAGCTCCTCCCAGCCAAGGTAAGGTGAGCATCTAGCGCTTTCTCCCTGCTGGTTTGGGGTATCTCCACCATTTTTGCTCAGTGCATCTTTGTGAGGTCATGCAGCAGCTAATGAAGCCTGCCTACTCCCAAGGGCCTTTGCGGTGCCTTAGCTTAACTATTGCTTGGTGTAGCCATAGTCTAGCATGACCAAAACTCCAGCACGAGGATAACAAGCACATGGGCCTGCGTGTTTGCTTCCTGGCCAGGGTCCTAACTTTCCAAGCACTGGATCCAACCCCAGCTCTATAAGGAACTGGTTTTGACCACAAATTCCCATGCCAGCGCTGTGGTAGCAGCCTCTCACCATCACTGGGCCACTGCTGGGTGCAATGGTGCAGAGCCGGCAGTAGAGACAGCCTTTCCCCCGGCAGTGACATGCACCATGGACAGATACCTGGCTGGGGTATTATGATCCCAGCACTCGTTCCTGCCCAGGGCAGGGGGTCAGATTGACGATCTGTCCAGGTCTCTTCTGACCCTATAAACTATGAAACATTTTGCGTGCTCCGACAGCTCCCAACTGCTCCAGCACCTTCTCTCCAAACAAAACAACCTCTTCCTGCCCCCACAACCCAGGCTGCTGGGACTTCGCTACGTGGCTGGCTTCCTAGGGAAGGTGTCCAGATGGTACTGTGGTGGCTGGCAGCGCAAGACCCCGCGCTGGACGGACAGAAACGAGGCCAGAGGTAGAGGGAGCTTCACGTGGCTGCATGGATTTGAGCTATTCTTGTCCAAACAAAGGTAAGTTCGCTCTGCTGTTCCGACCCTGCCCCAGCCGCACGCAGGGCGCTGCAGCCTCCCCGCTATGCCTGACATTACAGAGCTACTACTGGCTCCGCTCTGGTTCTTGCTCCTCTGCTCTGCTTTTTCACCGAACACGCTCCATTATCATGGCAATGCCTCCCTCTACTGTGTCACAGCAACACTGCAAGCTCTCCTTCTCCTTGAAATCACCCCCACACGGAGTTGATGTCCTTGGCACAGTCTCGAGCTGTGGTTTGCAGTCTTTCTGGATGCCAGGCACCCCACGGAAAATGTCAGCTCTGAGCATTCACCCATGTTTTTGCCTATAGAAAAGTACAGGGGCAATTCTTCTGTTGCCAAGATCCCGATAAGCCCTCGGTCACCACATGTGAATTCCTGTTTGAAAGCTGGTTGTGGCCGTGTTGGTCTAAGGACACAGGCAGACAAAGTTCTTTGGGTAAACGTGATATTATTAGACTGACTAAATAGTTGGAAAAATTGGCTCTTGGCAGACTCTCCTTATGCCTGAAGAAGGGTGCTCATGCCCAAAAGTGAGAACAATTGTCCCGACTATTTGAAATCTCTGGGTTTATCTTGCGAGCCGTGCATGGGTGTTTGCAATTCTGGCAGTGCTGG